CATTTTTGATCGCTAACGCCTTGATTTTGTAGGTTCTATATGTTACGAGTTGCAGGAGAAGACAACCGAAGCTAGGGCTCTGGCGCCTCTCCGATTTTAAAATCATGCTTCATATTTATTTTTTTGGTTTGATTTATATTAGCGGATGTAAGGCCGCCCCAGCGGTAGAAGCGATTATTGCAAAGGCGTTAGTGTACCAGGGCACGGGTTCAATCCCTGCCCCTTGTATTATATTTTTCATGTTTTCTCTTGTTTGCCAGTCCTGTACAAGCAAGCCTAGTGCGCTCATTGTGCTCCTCACCTCATCACCATCAGATCTTCACACTGCCAGATCCAGTACCCCATATTTGCATGAGCATCATGAGACCATTGAAGCCAGCCACACTGGATCTCACACAATACTGGGCTGTTGTTAATGGGCCTATGAATTCATATTTTTCACACCCCCTGAATTTACTTCTACAGGCCCATCACTTTTTTTTCAATTTTTTTTTGTTTTTTTAATATAATTAAATTTTTTCTCTAAATTGATTAAAATAAAATTAACTTGACTTTTTTAATTAAGTTTATTAAATTAACCCATTTTTAAAAATTAAATTAATTTAAATAATTAACTTAGTTTCTTTAGGGCTTTTTATCATTAAATATATTTTCAAATAATCAATTTCTTTTTTCTAAACTAAAATCAATTAGGTTAGGTTAGTCATCAATTTTTTTTATCAAAAACAAAAACATTTCTCTGTTTCTTTTTACTTTTACAATATTTGCGCGTTCCTTTACCTTCGCATTAGTTTTTACAATAATGTATCTGTTAAAGGTTGTAATAGTTAATTAGGTTATGTTTGCCGCATTCTTTCTTTCCCCCAATTTTTTGGTTTTGTAAACCCTCTCCTGAAGCATTGTAATAGCGTAGGATCTTTCTTTTCCGTTTTTACTGTTTCTACTTATTACTGTATAGTAACTAGGCTTGTATGATAAGATCTAAAATGAAAGGCTAGATAACCCTAATATACAAGATAAAATAAACTGAACTGAATCACTATTCGCACACGCACCTCTAGGGTAACCTCACTTGTTGACTTCGGGTAAATACATTCATTTCCCTCGAAAGTGGGTCGCTTTAGCAAAGACCCTCAGTTAAAAATATCGTAGTCCCTCAATGACCCTTCGATGCTACCTTCGATAAATGATCTTAGCCCCGTGTGATAAAATTGCTAAAGCACCCTACAAGTTGCCTTTATAACTATACGATGAACCGCGTTTATCCTTCGTACATCCAACGATAGGGTTTCCTACTAACTAATGGTAGGATAACATTATCTAAAGGAGGGGGAAAATAACGCAAAAGACTTTTGAGTAAGGGTAGACAACTAGTAATCGCTTGCTCAAACAAAAACAAAACATTTCTCATAATTACACTTTTTCTGAAATATTTTCAAAATAAAATATTTTGTACGCATTCTCAACTGATACGAGAATCATTACAAAATTTCCGCACTTAGGCATTTTTTAAAATATTTTCAAACACACAAAGCATTTTCAAAAGTGAGCAAGTGATTAAGAGCCCGTATATAACTACGGATGAAAATAGTGCTAACATTTTCCCTTTTCATAACCTACCCTCTGAACTCAGAATAATCTCGAAGGTCTTTCCTGTTATTTTCACCCTTTCTTTCATTGGATAAAAGAAAGGTCGATGGCGACTCTTGCTATCCGCAACATTTGCGATAAAATGCAAAACCAAGTCAGTTTTCCCACCTTATTAGAACTGGAGACTCTGCTGGGGAGAAAACTAAAAGTGGGGTTACCTTAGAGTTAGATCACATTTAAAATTCTTTACTTGCTTGATTTGCATGATTTACATTTCGGGGTTTTGCTCGGGTTTACTTTTGTAATGATCCTATACCCGGATCTGAGGGAATTTTAGGTAAGTAGCAATAGATCGTGGAAACTGTACAACATAGACTGATATGTTTGAAATGATGACTATGTTATTGCGACAAATTGATTGGCGTCGTTGTCCCTTGAGTAAGTCAAGGAGAATGTTGGGCCGGTGCATGGTGTCATAAGCACTAACTGATCTTAGAACCTTAGTTGACACAAATTAGCCATTAGAAAGTAGTAAGATGGCCGACTTTGGTGCAGGTTGAAGTTGGTTGATACTCAATACTACACTCATTGATATCAGACTCTCAATATATTTCGGTCCCAAATCAGATGCTGTGCTGAAACAATGCCCGAGAGAAAGATCAGTGATATTGAGACTCCTAGAACCCGGTTACTTCTTTTAGAACATGTTGAGCCAACTAAAACTCAAGAGGGTATTTGCCTACAAACTCCATGCAAGCTTGAACCTAAGGCCTTGTGTGTTTTGTTTGTGTCTGATTAATTATTCGAACATGACATCATAACATCATGACATCATACCATATCCATTTCAAGGACCAATGGATTTATATTTATTCTTTGTTGTAGGTTATGGCCTCCTCTCGCAGATACACTATCTAGATCAAATTTGTAAGGGTACCTTCTTAGCTTAAGGAGTTAGTCTCAAGGGTTCCCGAAATTTCTCAATTCATCAAAAGCATGGTCGACTACTCAGTCTGGTTACCTCAGGTTTTGAAGAAGACATGATGAGTGTTCTATTCCAGTTATTAGACCATGCACATCACTGTTTCCCCTTTCCAGATTATCAGTTGGTACCCATAATGTAAAAGTTCTCTAAATTACTAGGAGTACTTGTTCTTGATCAGACACCCTTCAACGGTTTAGAGAAAGCTCCAAAACCAGAAGATATTGCAGCAACCTTACATTTGAAACAATCTGACATTGTATCTAATTGGGAAACAAGAAGTGAAGTCAAGGGATTTCTTGCTAAATTTCTGATAGGGAAGGCTAAACTGTTTCTGGATGCTATGAGTTTTCAGGCTTTCGTGGAGATCTTGGCTTTGTTAATCTATGGATTGGTACTATTTGTTGTACCCTAATTTTTGCCTCTAAGATTAATCTATCATATCATATCAACTCATTCATAACAAGATCATACTAGGGTTTGGTTCTTGTATTTATCTTTAGCTTTTCTCCTGAGAGATCACCAAGCACCTTGAATCGTGTGCCTCATATATATGTATATTATATTTTACTGACTTCTAACCAAAATTCCAAAAAATGTTTTGTTAGTTTTGTGTCTTGAAAGACAGGGTTTGCGACCAAGAAGTTCAGGTGATGACTCTCCGATTAGGGTTATGGTTTGTTCAAGCAAAAAATTAGTTCCCAAAAGCCTATGGGTCAAAGCGGTGATATATAATCTTAGGTTGTGTTATCCTCAAGTGTCATTCAACATAGTTTAGACGAGTCTTGTTGCTTAATTCTCAAGATTATTTGAGATAGGTTCATGTGTTTATTTCCATGCCTTCTTCGACGTCTCAAGTTCATATTTGATTAATAGTATCTTGGGCTGTGAAAAAGATCAAGTTCGCGAGTTGATTTGAAGTTATCAGACCAAAAGTCAATGTTTGCCAGTTTGAGTTCGAATGATCATAACATCCTTATTGCTAAATATTTTTGAGCGATTCTTCGAGCGTATGAATCTCCTTGACTTCATCTCAAACTTCTCTTTACAAGTCAAGAGCTAATGATGTGAGGAATAACTTTGCTTTAATTTCAAAATGATTTCAGCTGTTGCACCCTAAATTTTGCCCCTAATTTTTTTTAGTTGACTTTCATATCATATTTTGTTATTTGGTCACAATCATTAATAAATATCTTCATTCATCACATTTTGCATCATTAGTCGTATTTAAGTTGACCAAAAGTCACTTTAAATCGAAGTTTGCATCATCTTGTAGTTGAACAATATCTGATATTTCATTTCATGCATTTTTATCCCTTTACACGTTTCTTGCATTGCTTCAAGTTGTTTATATGTCAATAACATTAATATTTCGGTTTTACAGACAGATTGTTAAAAGCGATTCAATATTGTGGGGAAAATTAACGAGAAAAATATTTCAAGTTTACACCTTTTACTGATCATTTTATGAATCTGCGTTTCACGTAGGTCGTGATGGTATGTTCGCTTCATTTTTTGGTACAGTTTAGAGTCTCATTTTTAACCCTAAACGTTTGTTCTGCCTGATATTTTTATTCTCTTTTTATTTCGATTTTGATCATTTGAATATTTTTTGAATAATCTTTGTGACAGGTAGTTTATTTTAATGTGTTCATTTCATTTTTTCGAATAAATTTTTGTCCATTTTTTATTATTTTTAGTCATTTTCGAATCTTTTTTTTTATTCAGAAAAATTCAAAAATAAATTTTTTAAATTGCATTAATTTGTATACTTTCAGATTTTTCTGTCTTTTTTATTTTTAGAGGGATTTTTGGTCATAAAAAAATATTTGTTAAACTATGCTTTGCTCTTTATGTAAGGAAAAGTTACGGATCAATACCTAAAAGAGAAAATAGGTAGCGGAAATTGCAAAAAGCAGAATTGAATTTCCTCTTGATATGTCTATATAACAGATTCATCAAACACTTTCCATCGACTCCCCTATTTACAACAGCTACCGTGAGCAACCAACACAGCTCACCGGTGACCTCCCACCATTCACGGACATCATCGACCTCTCCTCTCCGAAATGAGACCCAATTTCCGGTTTCCCTCTGACTGCGTTCCTCTCCGCCTCCATCGTTCCATCTTCAGTTTAGCAGCTTTCTGCGACGATTCAGCATCCAACAACCGCGATAATTTTTCATCATCAGCTCAAGACCACTGCTAGTTTCAGCAAGCACAGTAGCATCTCTCCTTTCAAGCATTCTCATTCGCTTCTCTGCTACTGTTCGGTAATTCTTCGAATCCATTGTTGTTTGCTTAAATTGTGATGCTGTGTTGTTTTTTCTGATTAACTACTTGTTGCTGAAATTTTGAGAGCCCTATGTTAGTTCATGGATAAATCATTAGGCTGTTTTGATTTATCAGTTTAGAAGTGTTTTGCTGTCAATTCGCGATGAAACGGCTTGATATGTTATGTTCTTTGATAACTCTGGAAAAAAAAAAGTAATGTTCAATGTTGTCTTCAATTAAAGTGTATGCCAAACTTGTGTTGAATTCTTGTTTAGTGGTTGGTGTTAAAGTGTTAATTTTAGTGAGTTTATCGTTGAATTTGGTGATGATATTGTTGTCGATTTGAGTTTTAAAGAGGATGGTGATATTTGTTTGCATTTACAATATGGAAGTTGAATGAAACTTTGGCAATTTGGTTGCTTGAATTAAGTGATGATCATGATGTTTCGATTGAAAGGATCGTTCGTTGGTATATTTTTATGTTGTTTTGTCATGTTGAGTAATTAATTCAAGAAGTGCATATGTGTGGATGATTTTTTTTGGTCCATTCAAGTTTAATTGTGATTGGTGAGAATTGGTTTTGTTTGTGATTTGTTTCTCTTTGGTTTCAACTTATCTTATCATTGAATTATGGAGCCTTTTTATACATATGTAGTGGCTGTCCGAATTTTATTTTTTGACCATAGCTTGTTTTGAAATCAATTGTCTATGTTTCAATTTTGGATTGAATTATAGCATGAGTTTCTTTGGCTTTGATTCCTTTGTGAATGGAAATATTTGAATAATCGATTGTTTGGTTTTTGAATTGTTCATGTGCATCATACGAATTTTATTTGGATTCTTATACTTTGTGATTACTAACACATGTTTTAATTGTTGCAATTTCATTTTTACACCTCTTATGCTACTAACGCGTTTTTTATTATGAAGGTTTCCAAGATTTACTTTAAGCATTCATTCTCGCATAGCGTATCCATATTTTTTTTCTTCATTCTATTTTCATTGTATTTTTATTTTACTATTTCAATTTAATATTTAGTAATGTAAATCTATAATGGTACATAATACATTTGATTTTTTTTTGTATTTTATTCAATTCACTTGTAAATAAATTCTGGTTATGTAAATATTCTTTCCATTGCGTTGCGATTTTAAATTTTAATTCAAGTTAACTTTTGAAAATCGCATGGACGCATATGATTTTTCCCGATCATTTGGAGTTGATTCCTACATGAATCTATTCTAGAAAATACTTAACTAAGTGCAATGTTCGGTAATTTACACTTAAGCTTTAAATAAGTTTTCCCATGCTATTGAATTTGTCTGTATACGTCATGTGATGCAGGGATTCTTATCCGATACCGTGAGCCTTATTTGATACCTCGAGCTTGATCTGGTACCGTGAGCTTTATCCATCACCTTTGATCCACGGTTTCTTTGTCCGTAATTTATTTTCACGTGTTGTGCTACTCGCTTATGGTTCGATATGCGTTATTCGATGCTTGGAGTATTATCTTACATTTGGGTTTCTTTGATGCCGTTGACTTGTGATTTATTTTCACCTGAGGTTTGATATACTCTTAGCTTATTTATCTGTCTGTGACTTTAAACCCAGAGGGATGGGAACACTGTATTGACTTTATCATGTCAAGTACTGGTTTCTTATTCGGTCAGATCCTATTTACCTTATTTTTTACCCTCCTATACATAGGATACTTTATTCATCTCTTCTCCCATTCTTTAATTTTCAAAACCTTCTCACCTTTTTCAAAATCTTATTTGTTTATAAACTTGAACTGCTTTCGTAATAAACTTGGACTTATGTCCATGCATTTTCAAAAATATCTTAATCAAACTTTAAACAATTTAATAATACTTTGATATTTTTGTGAGAAGACTAAAAGTCAATTAATCTCATTCAAACTATCTTTGCCACTTTGGCTTTTTACCTTAAAATTTTCTCAAAAGATCAGACTCTTGTCAATCTTTTTAGTGATGCGAGCTACTATACTTCTACGATATATAGTGAAGTGCGATATTTTCTACTTGGGTGTTGAGCGAGGCTTTATTGATTTTAAAATCCAAGCCATATCCTCCACTTTGAGATGAGGTAAATTATCCTTTCTCGTAATTGCGGATAGTAAGTATGTTTTCCACTCAGATAAGACGATGATTTCTCATCTCTTAAAATGAACCAACACACTTGCATTTTAAATTTTTTAAAAGGTGAACTACGAGTACCCTGATCCCCTATTGCACGGAAGGTGGTAGGTAGACACTAAAGGTTCGCAACCATGGAGGGTGCAAAAATCATAAAAAATACTTCTTTTCTCATCTCTATAATCTATATTTTTATACAACATTTATAGCCAAAATACACAGATTTTCAAAGAGGTTCTTGCGGAGTACCGTAGACGTTTAAGGTGCTAATACCTTCGCTTTCCTTTGGAAACAATAAAGCGCGGTGACAATTTTTAATTTGATTTGTGTGAGTCAAGTCAATTCAATGGCTTAGTCTCAATATTTCTATCGCTACACTATTCCCTAATCTAGACCAACTCATAGATGTGAACACTATCAAAATATTTCTTGCTCGTAATCCTGTGCGTACCTTGCTCTGAGATATTTTGCATTCTCTTCACACTCGTATTATGAAGAAGCAAGGAACTCTCATGTGTTTTATACCACTTCTATCCAGGTGGTTTATTTAGCACCTTCCCCGCTCGATAATAAAGAATGAACAAGGTTTGAGGTGGTCTCAAAGAATAATGTCACTCTCTCATACAAACATTTATTGGTATTCTCGATCTCACGAGAATATCACTATCATTGACCGTTGTGGGAGATTCCCTAATGTTCCACTCTTGGCATTAAGGGAGGTATTACTTACAACTCTTCTCTAGCTCTATGTCAATTTGGTTATGCTCGAAGAGACGGTCCTCATGACACGCTTATCTAGGGTATTGTATTCGATTACGAGAATGATCCTCAAGGTTATCGTCAAAGGTTTATACACGCTTGGGGCATGGTGAACACGATTGATAGCAAGACTTTAGGATAGAATAATTCCATCCCTCTAGATCCCTATCTCAAATGTGTATGAGCTCGTGCTCAAAACCTTATGATGCCATATCCTGATGTCCAACCAATAATCATGGAGCTTGTTGCCGAAGGAGATGTTTCTTGCACCATCATTCATCCAAACATGCCTACTGACCTTGAAGAATTACAGAAGTTGTGTATTCAACTCAAGGAAGAATGAGACACCTTTGAGACTCAATTATATGCAAGTGAGAAGAAAGTGTTGGAGTTACATATGTCAACACGAAGAAGAGGCGTCTATGAGAAACTTAAAACTTTAGGATTTTTTAATTTATCTCTTTGTAATATTTTGTGTTCACATAAAATTATTAATAAAAATCTTTGTTTCTATTTCCTTTTGGTTAAAAAATTTAAATCTCGTAAGGTCCTTGAAAACATTGCATATACATATCATGCATGTCACTACATGACAGGTGTTTCAAGATAGGTTTCTTATCTTTTTGTTGTTTTTTTCAGCAGAAAGAATGGCTCTTGAACAAATAATTAAGGATCTCCAGGCTCAGAACGCCCATTTCAAGCAAATATTCCTGAAATTAGCCAAGGGGCGGGAAGAGCTGGAGGCCCTCATCACTAAAGAGACGAAGGAGAAAATCAAGAAACCAGCTGGCATCCTCAACATGGGTAGTAAGCTCAAAGGTCCGGTCTAGCGAGATTTGGAGTTTAAAGAAGAAAATGATGACCAAGAGGAAGATGATAAAAGTATGAAGGATGACAACCATGGTTCCGATGAAGAAGAAGAAACTATTCAGATGAACAATATCCTTCGGCTGACGACAAATACAAGCAGCTAGAAGATCGTCTCAATGCTATAGAGATCTAGGGAGTTCTTGGGTTGGATTTTGAAGAGTTGGGTCTTATCTTGGGGGTTGTTATGCCTCACAAGTTCAAGGCCCCCGTCTTTTCCAAGTACGACGGTGTATCTTATCCTAAACATTATCTGCGGTCTTATGACCGAAAAATCTAACCCCATATTGCTGATAGAAAATTATGGCTACATTTCTTTCAAGAAAGTTTGTCGGAGACGCAATTAGAATGGTTCTATTAGCTGGAAGGAACCAACATTCACACTTGGGAAGACTTGGCAGCGGCTTTTATAAGTAGTATCAATATAATGCTGACATTGCACCAATGCGAGTGCAACTACAAAACATGTCTATGGGCTCGAACGAAGGTTTTAAAGAATATACCCAAAAGTGGAGAGACTTAGCTGGAAGGGTGCAACCTCCCTTGTCTGATCGGGAGCTAAATGATATGTTCATGGGCATTCTGACATGTTCATTCTTTAATCTGCTAATTGAGAGTTTTTCATCTGGTTTTACTGAGCTAATCCTAACTGGGGAACGAGTTGAAAGCGATATCAAGAGTAGAAATATTCCAATGGTTGCTATTGCACCCCAAAATTTTCTTTCCCCTTTTATCAATACACTTCTCATAAAAGATCTCAATGGCTCAAGCTTGCACAAGTGTTAACTAGGTCAAACGACCACCTAAGCATTGAGACCCCAAATTAGGGTTTTTATTTTCACAAGGACAATTGGACTTCTAATGCTTCCAATTACTTTCATGGTTTATTATAGACCTCCAAGAATTATCATACCAAGTTTCAAGTCTTGCATCTCAAAATTGCTCAATCAATTGCTCAGATGACTGAAAATCAGTTGTATTGGTTAAAAAGTCATCTATGGTCAACTTATAGTCAAACTTAAATATTTTTTACTAATATCAACATTTTGAAGTCATATTCATTAATTGATAAGGTTTGGATCACAATTCCTTAAGAAAAGTGTTCAAATCATCAAAGGGGCAAAATGGTCAAAATTAGGGTTTTGACTAAAAATGACTGATTTTTGACTTTTGACCTAATACATAATCTAATGACTTGAAGCATAATATTAAGAACTAAAGGACAAAATATTGACCTAATTTCATGGTTCAAAATATTTCTCAAGATCAAACAATTGATAGTTGAAATTTGGTCAATTGTTGAAAAAGTCAATTAATACACCAAAAGTCAAACTTTCACTTTTTGGTAAAAATTGTGTTTCAAAAGTCAAGATTCATCAATACATGCAAAAATATGAAGCTTTATCATCAAGGAATCAAGAAATTCAAAAGTCAAACTTTTCAAGACTTAGAAAAATTTCTAAGTGTTTTTGAACCTTGATAATTTCACTACTTCATGAAATTTTTTCACCAAGATGCAAGATGATTCAAAGAAAACTTTCAACATGAAAATTGTAGATCTTGATGAATTCTATAACTTTGTATTATAGGGT